GTGCAGGCAGCTTGGCTTTCCTGAGCTGCCGCAGGATGTACATCCTCTGCTGGGCCTTCTTGATGAGGGAGCTGATGGTCGGCTCCCATTTGAGGTCCTGGGTGATGGTGGTGCCCAGGAAACGGAAGGACTCCACAGAGGCGATGGGGGAGTCCATCACGGAGGGTGGGGGCGGGGGGGACAGTGCTCTTCCTGAAGTCCACAATCATCTCCACTGTCTTCTGGGCGTTCAGCTCCAGGTTGTTACCACTACACCAGGACACCAGCCGGTCCACCTCCCTCCTGTAGGCAGACTCATCGTTGTTGGAAATTAGGGCGTTTCAATGTTAATGAAGTTGCATGATGATGTAATGTAATTTTCTTATTATTATTATACTCTGCTGTCAAAAATACAGTGGCGTTTCGAAGAGAGACCATGGACCTCAATACTGTAATACTGTATGCCTCCTATTCTATGTGCTCTATGCTTTGTGCTCAGAAGGAGACTTTTCTGGTAAACCGGGCTAAAAAAACACAAGTATGACCAAACTCCGTCCAGCCCAAAGAACAGAGAGGTGATTCCCAGGCGGACGGAGCTGATGGGCTGCACCTTGAGGTGGACTGGAGCAGCGGAGCAGGTTGTGGTGATGCATTCATAAGATGTTTTCAGTCACCTTTCAAACACTACACCTGCCACTCCTCACTCTCACAGCAATCACACTGACGGCAGGCCGCACACACTGCACCAGGTAAGACATTCAACTAAATATTATGGGGGCATTTTTCTGGGGAAATCATAAAGTTGATTGTTGATGAATTTGTTGATTTTGTAGATGGAAGTAATGCAAACTAAAAACAGCTTACTGACTTGCAGCTAGAATATGAGAACATAATATAATTTAATGTCAAGTTTAAAGAAATCACTGCATTCTCAAGTTGCAGACGTGAGGAATTATTATTTAGACCATGATGACTTCTGCATATTTGGTTTTTCTTTCAGACCTGTGCTAATTAGTTCTCGTATTTAGTATCCTGTTCATATCCTATACCCTCCTGAGACCCGAGCATTTGTCTGGTGTGCATTTTATATATTTTTTTGCTATTTAGGATAAGTAGGACCCAATAAGTATAATACCTAAATTGTGATTTTGTACAGGAAGTAGTTTTTGAGAAAAAACATGTCCTCGTATGAGGACAGTGGGTCTCTCATAACCTAAAGAAAAAATGTATGCTCTTTGAGGCCGGAAGGTCCTAATTAGTTGAAATTCAAAATTTCAGCTTGATCCAATTAGTACTTCTCTCAAAAATCAATGTCCTCATATGAGTACAGTGGGTCGACCTTACTATACAATACAAATAGACTCCATTGGTCTAAAATAGTATATAACAGTTTATTTGAAAAATGTAAACATCAAAGTTAGACATAAAATCCAAACAGCTCTATCTTCAAAGCCTAAAAATGTCATGGTGTGGACATTTTGACCTGGTTGAGTTTGAATCCTGCCTGTCCTGTTGATTGTTGCCCCGCCCTAATGTGATTCACCTGTGTGTCCCTTGTGTGTATATATACCCTGTGCCCTTCCTCTCTTGTTGTCCGTCCATTGTCTCCACCACGTTTGTCCTGGCTTCAGTTCTGTTTTTACATTACCTTGGATTTATTTTATTAAATTACTTTGATTTTCAGTCCTGCAATTTGGGTTCCCTTGTTCTTCATTCATCCACATGACAAAAAATTGGCTATACATAAATAAAACTGCAAAATACTGTGTAAACTGTCTATTTCAAGCCTTCAATATGGCTGAATTGAATTGATAAATACAATACTAGAACAAATAATGGCAAATATTATTAACAGTCCTAAAAGAGTAAAATTCTGCTGAACAGCTTTTGAACCGGGGCTTTTTTCAAACTAGCTCCCTCTCTTTTTCTAGAAAGCAATCTGCCTGTTTGGAAGAGCCCTATTGGCAAGTGTGAAATGCTGCAAAGCAGTTGCGTTCACTTTGCAAGCACAGGTACACATTGCATGTCATGCATCGGACACAGGATTTTCCAATGCAGTCTTGTGCTCTGCAACGCATGGGGTTTTTCAAGGCTACCATCTCCGGGTTAGGGTTAGGGTTACAATATCCCCAGTCGAGGTCAGCAGCTCTCCATCTGCACCATACACGGTGTTGGCAAAGAACTGCTTCCCCCTCCTGAGGCGCCGGAGGGTTTGCCAGAACCTTTTTGAGGCCGACCGATAGTCATGCTCCATGGACTCTCCGAAGTCCTCCCAGTCCCGGGTTTTTGCCTCTGCAACAGCCCGGGCCGCGGCACGCTTGGCCTGCAGGTACTGGACAGCTGCCTCAGGAGTCCCACGAACCATCATTGCTCGATAGGACTCCTTCTTCAGCCTGACGGCATCCCTTACTGCCGGTGTCCACCACCGGGTTCGGGGACCAGCACCAGAGACCTTGCAACCACAGCTACGAGCCGCTTTATTGGCGATAGAGGAAGAGAACATGGTCCACTCGGACTCAATGTCCCCCTCCTCTGGGTCCTGGGAGAAGCTCTCCCGGAGGTGTAAGTTGAAAGTCCGTCTGACAGGGGGCTCAGCGAGACGTTCCCAGCAGACCCTCACTACACGCTTGGGTCTGCCAGGTCTGACCGGCTTCCTCCCCTGCCAGCGGATCCAACTCACGACCAGGTGATGATCGGTTGACAGCTCCGCCCCTCTCTTCACCCGAGTGTCCGAGACAAGCGGTCGAAGGTCAGATGATACGACAACAAAGTCGATCATTGACCTCCGGTCTAGGGTGTCCTGGTGCCACGTGCACTGGTGGACACCCTTGTGCTCGAACATGGTGTTCGTGATGGACAGACCGTGACTGGCACAGAAGTCCAACAACTGAACACCGCTTGGGTTCAGATCAGGGGGGCCGTTCTTCCCGATCACCCCTCTCCAAGTGTCACTGGCATTTCCCACATGGGCGTTGAAGTCCCCCAGGAGAATAACAGAGTCCCCGGGCGGTGCACTGACCAGTACCCCTCCCAAGGACTCCAAGAAGGCCGGTACTCGGCACTGCCGTTAGGCCCATAGGCCGTCACAATGAGAGACTTGTCCCCCACCCGGAGGCGGAGGGACGCGACCCTCTCATTCACCGGGGAGAACTCCAACACGTGGCGGCTGAGATGGGGGGCAATGAGTATGGCCACCTCAGCTCGCCGCCTCTCCCCGCGGGAAACTCCAGAAGCTGACTGACAAGTATGAGATGATGATGCAATCATCCCCATCTGAGAAGTCATAGAGGACTTCTCAGAGTTGTCTGCAATTGCCAACAGCAATTGTTCTGCTCTTGATAATGAAAGTGTGCCTGTAATGATAATTTTAAAAACCAACATCAAAATCTACAGTATATCAGTGACACATCATAGCTTGGCTATCATGTGCTAGCTATAGCCTAGCTATAATGTTTATGATTAAGCATTTAGCAACACTTCACAATACTTAGCATATACCACTTAGTACTTAAATATACTATTTACAACTGTAAACCACATAACTGAGCAAATGTGTGATTCAAAATAACTATTTACAACTGTAACTTCATCTAAATCTTCCACACGGTTAGCTAAACAGATAGCGGTACATAGTCCTAGCGTCCTCAAACGAGTGCTTCACTTTTACTGACATCCTAGCCTGCTACTACAATCAAAATTTTTCAAATTTCAAACTCCATATGAAGCTAGAGACATTATTGTGCATAAATAAATTGATTTCATTCATAAAATGTTGATAGAATTTTTACCTGGGGCATTTTTCTTCTGTAAACTCTTGTAGAAGTGTTTTGCTGATATTCCCGCCATTTCTTTCCTACTGCCTTAAGTGTAATTCTATCATATCACCACAAGATGGCGCGGGCAGTGTCCCTAAATGTGGCCATCAGGTCAAGGATGTAAAAAATTGAGTATCATTGTGCCAAGAGGCAAAAATGTAATGTCCTCGTATGAGGTCGCAGGGTCTCAGGAGGATACAACAGATCATAATTAAAGATTACTTTTTGTTTTTTTTGTGCAATTATGTATGACATTAGGAAAGGATGTACTGTAGAGTCATTCCACTAGTAAAAGGTTCAGGAGGATGTCTACAAAAAAAACATTTTAAATATGTATTCATAATTGGTTGGTTAAAAAAATCTAGTGAAGAAGTAGTAACTTATCTTTAATGCGTATAAAACCAAATCCAAAAATATCCATCTAACCATAATTACAGCTAGTTTCAAATTATTATTTTTTGGATTTAGTGACTATGATTATTTTTTTCTTAAGTAACAAGGAAGGGTGTGGTGCAACACCAATCACGCTACGTATGCATGCACCCATGCACGTTAAACTTTCCATCATGGAGGACATTCAATATTCATCCACACCCACAGGTGCTGGAAAAGCCCTGTACTGAGTCATAACACTGACTGACCCCCAACCAAAAAATATATATTATATAATCATATTTGCTCAGTTTGTTTGTTATTCTGTTGTTGAAATAAATATCCATATTATATTTAATTTTATTGCTCTCAATGTAAATGATAATTCCTAATAATTCTATCTGTGTATCTACTATTTTACATTTGGCATCAAAAACCAATCCAACTCCACTATCAAACCACACTTAACTTGCTTTGTTATTTCACACTTCAAAACTGGACGGACAGGCATCAGAGTGTGAGATATCAAAACTACTTAAGATAGACAGATCTACATCAATAAACATGACTTGTATCTAGAAATACACATGTTCTGCAATAGTAGTAGTAATAATTATAATAATATGCATTTCTCCACATTTTCAGACTACTTAAACCTGCTCAGAATGTCCCAACAGCTGGTCAACTGGAACAGCGGCCTCTACAACTGCTGTGACAGCTGTACCACATGAAAGAAAAGAATCCATCTTTCCCGTTTCCTCACATCCACACACCCTTCAGTTTGGTCATGGATGTTTTGTTTCAGGCTGTTATGGCTTCTTCTGCTGCCCGTGCATGGCCTGCTCTGTGGCCGGCGGCTTGGGGGAGAATCGCTGTCTGCCTCTCTGTGACATCTTCAGCCCGGCCATCACTGCATCCTGCGGGCTGCCCCTGTGTGTGCCCCCCTCTGCCCTGGCTCTGAGGGTCGCCATGAGGCACAGATATGGTATCAAGGTAAAAGTCCTCGCACCGTACACTACACATAGTACACACATATTAATCCTTTAATGATGACTCCTTAACACTAGGATCGCCGTGTTCTAAACATACCTTGCACCGCCCCCTGCGGTCAGTTGACCGCTATGTATTTTGCGCTGATACAGCCTTTTGCCAAATTGATTGTTCACTAAACCAGAACTTGATGTTGCAAGGAAATCGTGATCATAATGAAACTGTGTAAATTATTTGTCTAAATATACTAAGTAATTGTAATTCTAGCCGAAATAAAAAGCTAAGACGACACATTGTGCGTGTACTGATCCATCAAAATTACGATGACTTTTCAGGCTAGATTTATTTTGTAACTTTGCAAACACCTAAAAGGTTGGTCACTATATGTTAAATTTGACTCAGCAACAATATGATATGATATATGAAATATGATATGAAATGATAGTTTAGAAAAGCACAGGACCATAACGTCTTCGCGCTGCTATATGCGTCTGCTTCTTACGTCATCTCCAGACTGTTTTCTCTTTCCAGCTGAAATCACCGTGGGAAATATTATCTAGATAATAATAATAGTATTCGTATTGAAACGAGATCAGTAGATATATAGGCTACCATCTTCAATGTAAAATCTTCAATTTTACACGGGACACGTTAGAAAGACAAATATATATATGTATTTATTAGAGACAAGCAGTGCTCTTTATGATCAGAAGTTGAACAACATTATATTCATTGCCTTGCAGTGCGCGCTGTGCAGAATAACACACAGTGTTGTCTGGATGAAATAAGAATGATATCCTTATTGATATGATATGAGGGCCGCTTCTGCCCCACAGTCGCTCTCCTCCTGTAGTGTCCGCGGGTGACGAGAGGCCTCACAGCGCTCCATCCGCGCTCCTGCCTTGATAGTTCATCTAATTGTTCTATTTTATTGCAATATTGTATTCTGCTTTATAAATATAAGAATGTAATTGATGATGAATGAAAAGGCAGAATGCAGCGACAGCACGCACACAGACCCCTGCGTATGGCTGGCATTACGCGGGTCATGTGAGTTATTGCTTCTGGACCAACACTGCTGTCCGTGCCGTGAATGCACTATGGGTTTACGTTCAGATTTAGAATATTATAGGTGTTCTCCCCGCTGTCACTTTCCACCTCAAAAAGTGACATCTCACCTCCGTCAGACTGTTCTCATTCAATGTCTTGAAGCACTGTCAGGGCTTCATACCGTGTACTTGCAGCTCTATTCATTTTGTACTCCTCTCAATTCAAAACTCTCTCTCTCCCAAATAATAATAAAAAAAAACTCAAGTCCCTTTAGAGTCTAATGACAACATATTGATACATTTTTATGAGGCGCAAAAAACCCCCGGGAAGGGTTACTATGACAACAGGCGCCCCTGCGTCATGTATCCCTATATGGGGCAGCAGAAAGGGCTGTGGTTTAGAAAAGTTAAAATGCGTGTAAATCTTGTTTTCTTTACTTTTTCCAAAACCAAAACACTCCAAAATATAAACAAGTACCTAATAAAAGTCATGAAATGTCAACTTCTGGCGTTTTGTTTTGAATAGACTAATTAGCATATTAAAGTGAGTGACGGTCAGTTGACCGCTAGGGGCGCTCCTAGTGTTAAAGAGAGCAAGGGAAAAAAAATTGTTATTGAGATGTAGGAGTACTATCAAAAATGATTTAGAAAACAAAGTGGAAAATGTCTGAGGTACTCTGACTTCATTTTCTACGAATCCTTGAAGAGCCCTTGACCACTCAGGTTTACCCTACATTTTTAGGTCCACTCCTATTATCTATATATATGTTTTGTTTTGTTTTAAAGGCACACCGTGTAACTCTTGGCCACTAGGGGCGCTAGACCTGCAACTTTCACGTTTAGCGCCCCTAGTGGCCACAAGCAACTCAGCACTGTCGCAAAAGTCAACAAACAGTCAGCCGGTGTCTTTTGAGTGTGTATTCAGACAGCATGCACTGGTGTGTGTGTTCAAACTGTAGAGACATGCCTACAGATATTGAGAGACTCTGCTGTGGTCAGCCTCCAGACCGCTGCATTAGTAATCTACCACACATGGACTTCTATATCCTGGATGAGGGAGTTCTGCGTCTAGCTCGTGCTGCGTGGAATGACATCTTTGCAGTCGATGACATCCAGGAACCAGGTGAACAGCAGCGCTCATACAGACATGCAGCTTACAGCACGATCCCTTTCGCGTTTCCTCTTTTTAGCCTCCTCCGAAGGTTTAAAATTTTTCCTTGCCTCAGCCATGACCAGGAGTCGAGCAGGTGAAAAATGAGTAGCAAAAGCCTTAGCTCCATGAGTATATCAGCGCCTGTAGCCGTAAAGCAAGTGTTTCTTCCAAGTCACGTGACCTGGTGGCAGACGGTCCGTCTGCTCGAAAGTTACATGGGCGGTATTTCAAGAGGGCAGCCCCGCTCGGAGCATTGCAAGTGTCAAGCGCTGTATATTGGCCCAAGTATTCATATAAAATAACTCATATGTGTCAACTCTTTAGGTCACAAAGTCCGCGGTGTGCCTTTAAATAAAAATGTAGGCCTCTACAAAATGGTTGAGATGCAGTTTGATGGTAAACGTGCCTACAACCAAGTGATGAAGCTGCCCCAATGAGATAGATTTCAGTTCCAAGCTTCAAGTAGATGTAGTGAATGAAAAAGTGAAATAATGTAGGCAGTAGAAGTAGAAATAATGAGGCAAGAGGCAAGAATTATAACATTCTATCAGCCCAACAACCCTCAAAGGCAGTTCCATGGTCTCCCTCTAATCTTCCAGCCAGGGTCAAGTCACAGCGGTACAAGTGGATGAGCAATACAGTGTGCAACATGGTGGCATAGTGGTTTGCGCTACGCCTCAGGTTTGATTTCTGGGTGAGACAGGGCCTTTCTGTTTGGATTTTGTTATTCCTCACTTGCATAAATATGTTTCCACCATTCGATAGCATGCACTGTCCCAACCAACTAAACAATGAGGCTTGGAATGTCAGAAGGTTCACAGATGATGGAAAACATGAATGCACAAGGAATAGTGAAGAGGTTATCCATCCTCAAATCAACTATAGGGATTAAATTAGGGATGTAAATCGGTGACCGGTTAACCAGTGGTTGACCGTCACAGCGTTAACCTGTCAAAGCTGTCGGTTAAAAAAAGAAAAGGGGGAGAGGGGAAGTCTCTTAATAACGCTGTTTTAAACTCTATTTGCACGATGTGACGAGCGGGTCTGTCTCTAGCTGTGTGCGCCATTGTATTAAACTCCGAGCCGACTTTCATGCCGCAAGCGCCGCGCACACATACACACACACGCATTCACGCACGCACACACAAGTGCCATTTCACACTCGCGCACCTTTTCCCCGTTCCATTCATACGTAACATCCACACGCATCATCCATACTCTTGTGCGGGTTAGAACTACATTGGAGCATACACACACATTCATATACACACACATTCATATACACACACATTCATATACACACACACATACATATACACACATACCGGTCTGTCACGCTCCTCTGTGTCACGTAGCCCAAATACGCGGCTTCAGTCAAACCACATAGGAACACGTTTGTGCTTATGGTCCTTGGCATTAGATCAGCTCCACACACAGCACTGTATTTAAACTTTAGAGGAGACCTGCGAGACGCGGCTCGTCATTCGCTGCTCTGACCATGTGAACGAGCCGTCGTTTGCCGCTAAAGAGCTTTAACCTGCAGCACAGAAGAACGGGAAGATTAAAAAAGCAGTTCTCTGTGCGCAAAGGTGCCGAAGCTGTTGGCGGTTTTGGCGCCGCTGTCTCGGCTCTGATCCAGTAGAACGCAGAGCTGCACTTATGAAAAGTATGCGGCTCGAAATGGCTGTTATTTCAAAGAACGTGGAATATTTAAAACTACGCGGTTAACCGGTTTCAACCGGTTAATGAGGCTCGGTGGTCGGTCATGAAAATTCATAGTTTTTTACATCTCTAGATTGAATTCAGTATTTTCTCAACAATACAGCACAATCTGAGGTGTAGAGGGTTGAACAAGTCACTTGCATTGTTAAGTATAGTTGTATTTGCTATGTACGGTGGGATGAGTTTGAAATACCACATACTTAAAAACATTAACATTTTGTCTGTCTGAAACTTCTAGGACTAATTATTTGTTTCCCACATAGCAAGCTGATGTGTTTGTTTGTCCAGGTTTTGACCCGAATGAACTCTTGTCTTCTTTCAAGCAAAGAAGACCTGTTCCTCAGGGATTATGTCAGCACGCGACACAGAATAATGCAGACGGGATTTATAAATTCGGATTATCGCCTGGTGGACAAGGCGAATTATTAACGTTCGGATATAATCATCTATCTGCTGACAGAGCCCAAATAGTCCCTCATCCATCATGCGGAGGATAGTGTTCCAACAGAATTCTAACTGCCTCCCTAGTGGACAAGGACCAGTCACAGCTACACCCCGGGAAAGCCCCAGCCCGTTGAGCGACGCGTATGGATGACCGTCATTCGGGAAGTCTTTCCCCGTATATTTTGTTCCCTCCGGGAGGTTTTGAGTCGAGACTAGGACAAGGTGGTCTAACGCGACCGCTATGGATAGAGCTAGGCAATAGAAGTAGGGAGCTCTTTTGTTTGAATATTCTGTATTTTTGATTGTAAAAGATAATTAAATTGCAGATGTTAAACTTGGAGAATCTCCTTTTCTGAACGGGAAGCGAGACCTGTTCGCGGACCGTTATCTTGTAATATTGCTTGCAAAATCTTCAATATAACCTTTTGAAATCAGGTTTAGTATCTGTCATTTCTATTACTGTTTTAACATTGGTTTTTGTCTCTTGTTGAACTAAAAGGACCTGCAGAACGAAGGGCTGCTGTGTTTGCGGCCTCTCTGCAGCTTCTGGGCAGGGGAATTCTGACAAATTACTGCAAAGTGCTGGAGGAGTTAAATGTTTCAATCATAACAGTACATTGCGTGCATTGATTAGA